ACATGGATGAGATTCAGGTTTCATCTTCAGTTAGTGGCTCTAGGGATTTGATTCTTGAGTCGTCGTGACTTGTACGGTCCACATTTTTGTATCTGATCAGTTCAGTAGAGTTAAAGAAATTCTTTAGCCAAAGGGCTCAGAGGGGAATTGTTCTGGGGAAGGCCGTGTGGTTGGTGCTCTTCCTAACACCCATGGAAAAGTGAGTATGTCGGGTTTCTAAGCTGTTCTTCTCAGGGAACAGGTTTGAGTTCTAATTTGTGGCTTTTTGATCTGCGATCTGCTTTACCACAAGTTACCAGCGCATTATGTTTTATGAATTCATGATCACATGTGAGTTATTAATCTTTGCTTAATTTGTCAGGAACTTCTTTGGATATTTAAATCAGAAACAATATAGTGTTGAAGTGCAGACTGGATGAGGTGTGATAATACTTGAGACATAGCTGCTCTATTTATTTATTTTTTTTCCGTAGAAAAGAACGTCTTTTCTAAGTCATGGATGATATGGTTCTTACGTAGATCCAGACGCACAGATTTCGTCTGAAACATGAGTATTTTTGATACAGCAGTAGGGGCTCAGTACTTGGTCCGGATCCCCCCTAAGCAGATGCCAGGATGGGAACAGACGGGTGAGGCTGTTGGAGGAAACGTTTCAGGGATGGCAGCCGTGAGACTGAGATGCAGGCTCGACCCCTGAGAGGAGGCAGGAAAGGGGGGAGCTCCTGGACTGCAGCAGGCTTCTCAGTTCCCCTCGTTCTGTGGAGTCCTGCTGCTAAGTTCCCAGCGCAGAGTTGCCTGGCTTTGGAGGGCGTGGTCTAAGTATCCAGGCGCTGCTCATTCATTGGCTGGCGCAGCCCAAGGGAGGCGTGGCCTCTGCGGGAGCCCTTCCGCCTGGGTGCTCCTGAGCTGAGTGCCTGGAAGTCCTGCCTGTGGTCTGCCCTAGACCGGTGGTTGTTTCCCAGACATGGAATTCGTTTTCTCCAGACAGAGGGCAATAATGTTGTATTTCTACAGAGACAGAAAGGTGGGCTAACCCAATACATTATCTCTCTCTCTCTCCCTTTTTTTTTTTTTTTTTTTTTTTTACCAATTTTGGGGTCCTAAGATGGAAGTTAGGAATCAAATACATGGTAGACACTTAATGGGTTTACAAATGGAGCGATTGCCAGGGAGCCCGCCACACATTTTAAAAATTATGTGGTGGGTTTTGCGTCAGGAAGGCTGGTTCCTAGGGTTTCCAAACTTCCAAACAAAACACAAAACAAACAAAAAAAAAAATGGCAAAAGGCATTAGAAAGAAAACCATCCTGCTTTGAAGCCTGATTTGAAAACTGTCTTGAATGCCTTGCTTACAGGGAGTCCCTTGAAGAAAATCGGCTCAGCCCGATCCGGGTGCTGAGTGCGAGGCCTGGTTGGACAGCAGAGGGAGAGCCAGAGAGTCCCATTGGTCTGTGAGAGCCGCTTGGCCGTGCACTGAGCTCTGGTGTAGCCCTCAGTCCTGGGAAGAGCAGGATGTTCTTTTCTTCTCCAGGGTGAGAGTGTGGTCTGTGGGAGCCTCACTGATGAGCATCTCCTGAGACCCCAGACCGAGTGTCCTGGTGCCCTTGTTGGCCATTCTCCCCGTTCTGGCAGGACGCAGAGAGGCCCTTCCCTCCTCCCCTGGGCAGGCTGCCCCCTCTTTCAGCATCTTGCTCGGCATCAGGAGTTTTTCATCTTTGGATCTTTCTTGTTGCTGTTGTAGGTGGACACATGCCTTTACTTTGTGTGTCTGTTCTTAGGGGGTGCTGAGGATCCAGCCCAGTGCCTCACTCGCGCCAGGCCAGCGCTCTGCCACCGAGCCCCAGCCTCAGCCCCACGTGAGGACTCTTGTTTTAGTGGTCCATCGGCCATCGGGCTTTGGCCAGTGAGATGTCAGGTGAGGTGTAAAGGGGAAGATTCCCGAGGGTGGTTGTCGACAACGTATTCAACGCGGTGTACTTATTAGTGCATATGCATGACTTACTTATGACATGCTTGTTATTTTAAAGGGATGGAAAATAAGAATGAGAATGAGCAGAATTAGACAACCAAGTGGACTCACAGAGAAGGGGTGAAGGCAGTTGACACTTGTCATATTTGGCCAAAAGATGGCTGGGTCCGGCCGCGTCATCCCGCACTGCTGCAGGTGGCCTGCTGGACCCTGTGGAGCATCCTCTGGATCCAGGATCCTGTGATAAGACGTGGGTCAAACCCTCAGCCTTACAGATAACAGGCCGTCTTTCCTTAGGGTGTAAAGAGAGCAAATCCAACAAGAAGCCATAAGAACGGAAGTCAGAAAACCAGACTAAGGCTGAGGTCAGAGCTGTGGGGTTTCATCTGTGGGCAGTGCAACAGCCCAGTTGCTTGTGTCCCCTTCTAGAGTCATGTCAGAATCCTGTCCCTCAATGCTGAGGCATTGGGCTGTGGCTGCTGGGTCTCAAGGGTGGAGCCCTCATGCATGGGGTTAGAGCCCTTGTCAAAAGGGCTGCAGAGCGCCTTTGCCCTTCCTCCCCATGAGGTGACGGGAGACAGCCATCTTGGAAGCTGGCCCTCAGCCAGGCTCTGGGTCTGCCAGCTGGCCTAGGACGTCCAGGCTCCAGGACTGGGAGAATACAGTCCACCATTTGCAAGCGCCCAGTGAGTGCTATTTTGTTATAACACCTGAAGGAACTTTGACAAGAGTGAAGCTGTATCACAAGTTCTAAACTAGGGGAAATGGAAAACCAGATGCCACTTTTCCTTTTCTTTTGAAACTGGGTCTCGCTGTGTGGCCCAGGCTGCCCTTGAACTCCTGAGCAAGCAATCTCCTGCCTCAGCTTCCTAAGTAGCTGGGACTAAGGACATGTGCCACTGCACCTAGCTCCCTTAAAAACGTTTATGACAGCTTTCTTGAGATAGAATTTGTATCATTTGAAATACACAATCCAGTGGTTTTTAACATTCTCACCCAGTGAAGTAACAAAGCGTAGCCACGACCATAATTAAATTCACATTTTCATCACCTACTTAAAGAAACCCACATGTATCAGCCATCATACCTCTTTTCTGCCCACTTCCCTCAGCCTTGCACAACCAGCAGTCTACCTTGTTTTTCCATGGATTTCCTTATTCTAGACATTTAATATATAGAGAGTCATAGAGCTGGTGATTTTTTTTTTTGTGTCTGCCTTCCTTTTTTACTGCTGAATAATATTCTATTGTATGGACATACCACATTTCATTTATCCGACATTTGGATTACTTGATGGACATTTGGATTACTTCTTTGGGCTGTTGTCAGTAATGTTCTCTGAACATACACATGCATGCTTTCTTGTGGACGTATTTTCATTTCTCAGGGGTGTATATCTAGCAGTTGAATTGCTATATCCTAAGGGAACTCTGTTTAACTTTTGAGAAACTATCAGACTGTTTCTGCAGCAGCTTCACCATTAACATTTCTGCGAGCAGCCCGTGAGGCTCCAGTGTCTCCAGACTCCTGTCAACACCTGCTGCTGCCTGTTGTGGATCCTAGCTTTCCTAGTGCTTGTGTGGTTGTGTCTCACAATGTGATTGTGGTTGTGAGGTTGTGGTTTCAATCTTCCTGTCTCTGATATATCCATTAATTAATTATCCGTAACTATTGTTGTGCATCTTTTCAACAAAAAGCTGCTTATTGGCTATCTGTGTATGTTTTTAGAGAAATAGCCACTCATTGTTTTTTCATTTGAAAGTGATTTCTCTAGTAGGTTGTGAGAGTCCTTCATATATTCCAGTTAGGTGTATGATTTGCATTTTTTTTTTTTTTGCATTCTGTGAAATCTTTTTACTGGCTTGAAGGTATCTCTCTATGAAATTTATTTTTTCTTTTGTTGCTTGTGCTTTTGATATTATACCTAAAAAACCAGTGCCTGATCTGAGGTCATAAGATTGATACCTAGGTTTTTTCCTAAAAGTTTGGCAGTTTCAGTTCCTAGATTTGGGTCTTGGATTCACCTTTGAATTGTTTTTTGCTCTTTCCATGTGGACATCCAGTTGTCCTCATCGCAGTTTGTTAAGAAGACCTTTCTTGCCCTCACTTATTTAGGCTAACATCCTCTCTGACACGCGTGCCGCTTCTGAGGCAAGTTTTATTCGCCGACTCTTATTTACTGAAGGTTGGCACTAGTTTTGTCAATAAACGGTTTGTTTACCGAGAGCTGCATTTTACAAACACGACTTTTACCATGTAAAAGGTAGGAGACTTGCCTCTCATAGAGCCAGGGCTATGAGAACACAGTTGGGTGGAAAGGCAGGTTTGTGTCATTTAATGAGGGAGGCGTTCTGAGAAATGTCTCACTGGGTGGCTTTGTCACTGTGTGAAGACAGGGTGCACTCACACAGACCCAGATGGTCTAGCCTAGTGCACCCCTGGGCCATGCAGTAGAGCCTCTTCCTCCAGGGCTGTGAGCCTGTACAGAATGTCACTGTGCATTGTAGCCCAGGGCAGGTGTGTGTGCACTTTTCACATCTAGACAGGTCTGCACGGGCATCGCCACAGACATGCCGGTGACACGTTGCACTATGGCTTTGTGATGACGTCACCAAGGTGTCGGAGTCTGTCAGCTCCACTTTCATCTTCTGGGACCACTGTTGGCTGAAACATCGTGACGTGGCACACGACTGTGCAGGTCTGTCTCTCCAGGTGGAGCCTGGTTAGGCGTCTCCCCAGATTCCCGTGTCAGGGGGTGTGTCGCTGAGTTGCTCCAGGTGAGGCCCAGGGGGTGGTTCTGGTCCTGGGGCCTCGCCCTCGAGAGAGACCCTCTAGTGTGGCTCCTCATTCAGTGTCATTACATCTACTCATTTAATGCGATTTGGAAGGGAAATACAAACTGGATATTGTGCATTGTCCCGTTCTGAGATTTTATTGAATAAACTACAAGATGAAGACCACCACACAGAGAAACAGGGTCACAGCTTCCCCCAGAGGGTTTCTTCACCGTGACCTCTCCATCTTCTTCCAGGCCCCTGATGATCATCACTCAGAAGATCACAACCCTGGCTTTCCAAGTCCACGACGGTGAGAACAACCACCTCCTTGTGGCCCTCCGAGCCCTCCTTTGTGCGCCCCAGGGTTTAGACAAGTGCCCGGGGACCTCGCCACCTCTTGTTCTGACTTTCCAAGTCTCTTTAACCTGTCCCACTCACCACCCTCCACTCCCTGGGGAATCTGCAGTCTAAATGTGCTGAAATATTCACTCCGGGAACCGTGGGTTCTCAGTTTATCTTTGCAGTGTTTTAAAATTTGTGATTCTCTCTGAATTCATTTCCAAATTGCTTAAGAAATGGCAACCTTTTTGCTTTGGTTTAATCTCCAAAAAGCTTATAAGGTGAATAAGAAATTAAACAGCATTGGATGTTTAATCACTTTTTAATAGTAGATCTTTTTTTTTTGATGGAAAATCATCTAATGGATAATCATCTAATGGATAATCATCTTGAAAAATCATCTAATTTTTTCTCAGGATAATGAGATTATCCTGACCCTATAAAAAGCCGGGAGAAGGGCTGGGGTTATGGCTCAATGGTAGACCACTTGCCTGGCATGTGTGAGGCACTGGGTTCAACCCTCAGCACCACATAAAAATAAAACAAGGTCTTGTGACCAATACCTTTTAAGTCCAATATCAATTAAAAAAATTTTTAAAAATTGGGAGAAGGAAGAATGTGTCGTTTTCCCAGCAAATGCGATTTGCACTGTTCACAGTGGGACCCAGGGGAGGGAGGAGGCTATTTCAGTTGGAGGGAAGATCTCTACCTGGCTTTACGAGGTGCCAGGTGCGGTTCCTAAAAGCACCTTCTGTGGACTGTGCAGCTGCGGCCGGTGCGCTTGACTGTGGGGTGTCTTCCCTGGGTGACAGGTGGAGAGGGTTGTCTCCAGGAGCTGGTTTTCTTGTTGATCCTTCCATCTTCCGAACTGGCGACACTTGGTCCGACCTGGTGTCCCCTGTTTGGTACCGGGCGCTCTAGCTGTTCTGTAGAGAACGGAATCATTTTAGACCAAGATGGAGTCTTCCCAGGGAGCTACCCTCCTGTGCCCAGCACCGAGAGGTCTCCCGGGTGGGAGGCTAGTGAGGGTCGGGGAGAGGAGCCCTGCAGAGTGAGCAGCCCTGCAGACCGACAGCCGGCGTCAGTGCCCCTCGGGTTGCTCCATGGTACTGTGAGTTGAGATCTTAGGGGGAAACAATGAGGAGATTTTTTTTTTCTTTCTTTTTATTTTTTTTAAACACTGTTTCTTCTTTTTTTTCTTTAAATGGACTTTTTGCCTAGATTTGATTTTTGAAGTGTTCTCACCCCCACATCCACTTTCTGGGGCGTCCTTGTGTGCCTTGTTCATTGGCCTCCTCTTTTCTTCCCCGCGTGTGGGAGGAACAGGGACACTCCAGAGACGCTCTGCCTTCTCTGAGGCCACTGCCATTCCTTCGTGGTTGGTGACCGTCACCAGCCTCAGCCGGCCAGGCGCTCCCACGGTTGACTCCCTGCAGTGGCTTCTGTGCAGTCCACACGGCCGTTTTATAGGGCGCACCCGCCCTTGGGTTGGAAGGTTCTCTGCTAAGGGCAGGTTTTGAGAAGAAATCTGGCCGTGTCTTTGTGCTCTCCTTGTTCTCTGTTTTGTTCTCTGCCTCCGCAGTGACATCATACAGGGGAAGGAACCCCCGGCGGAGGAGGGGCAGGGTGTTCTGGGGCCCTCTGGGGTCGGGGTCACAGTGTGCAAATTAAACAGAAAAGCTAGGAAGGCTCCATGTCATTGGAACCTGCAGAGACTTTCCTTCTTCACCTAGGCTCCTGGGCAGCTCTCTGACCCGGGGAACTGCCCACCCCATGCTGGGGATAGAACCCAGGGCCTAGTGCATGCCGAGCCCGTGCTCCACCACTAAGCCACGTCCTCCCAGGGATTTTTATAAAATGAAAACCAGGGGCTTTGTGATTTATGAAGCAAAAATAATTCGCCTTTTTCAAATGGGTTTGGTAAGACTCGTTAAGATGAGCCGTCTGCTCCACTTTAAACGTTGCATTTCTATTTTTATTTTTTTAAATAGGATTAGGTCGAAGAGCTGAAGACCTTTCTGCTGAGCAACATCGACTAGCAATAAAGTAAGTTAATATGTTTTATGGTCCTCTGCAAATCAGTATTCAGAGATTGTCCTCAGTTTTCTAATATCTGTATATTAATTCTGTAATATGAATATTGTTTATTTATTAGATCTATTGATGGATGCTTGGATTGCCTACCAATCTTTGCCTTTGACAAGCAATCAGTGATGAATAACCTTGTACATGGATTATTTTTTTTTTTAATTTTCATCTATTCATTTTTATTTTTTATTTGTTCTTTTTAGACATGCATGCTAGTGGAGTATATTTTGACATATTATACGTACATGGAATATGATTTACTCTAATCAGGATCCCATTCTTGTGGTTGTACATGATGTGGAGTTACACTGGTTACGTATTAATATATGAACATAGGAAAGTTAGGTCCTTATTTCCCATTCACGTCCCCCCTCGCTTTCCTTCATTCCCTTTGGTCTATTCTGATGAACTTCTGTTCTTCCACCTTCCCCTTTATTGTATGGTAGCATCCACATATCAGGGAGAACACGTGGCCTTTGGTGTGGGGGATTGGCTTATTGCACTTACATGAAAGTCTCCAGTTCCATCCATTTACCAGAAAATGCCATAATTTTATTCTTCTTTGTGGCTGAGTAATATTCTGGTGTGTGTGTGTGTGTGTGTGTGTGTGTGTGTGTGTAACATTTTCTTTATCCCTTCATCTGTTGAAGGTCGGGCACCTAGGTTGGTTCCATAGCTTAGCTATTGTGAGTTGAGCTGCTCTAAACATTGATGTGGCTGCGTCCCTGTAGTGTGCTGGCTTTAAGTCCTGTGGGTATAGACTGGGGAGTGGGATACCTGGGTCCCCTGGTGGTTCCATTCCAAGTGTTCTGAGGAATCCCACGTGGATTATTTTAAATGTGTTTGAGTCTAGCTGTAGGACCGATTCCCAGAAGTGGATTGTTGGGTCAAGGAGTAAAAGAATCTTTAACTTATTAGTTCTAAAGATTCTCCTTCACCAAAGTTGTTTTGTCTGCTCTGGAGTTATTTTCCCATGGGCATGTGTCTGGGGCCCTCTGTGAACCACTGTCTGTCCACCCACATCAATGTGCCAAAGTCACGGGGAGAGAGAGGAGGTGGGGCAGGAGAAGTGGGCCTGGGCTGGGCATCAGGAGGCAGCCAGTGCAGGTGGGCCTTGGCCAGTGCAGGTGGACCTTGGCCAGTGCGGGTGGGCCTTGGCCAGTGCAGGTGAAAGGGGTGGTGCAGAGGGAAGGAGCTCCCAGGACAGGGGAGCAGCGTGGACATGGGTTGACAAAGGCTCCGTGGGCTGAGGACAGAGGCGCTGCCCAGTGTGGGCCGGGAGGGTACCCAGAGCCCACGGAGGGAGGGGAGGCGGCCCAGGTGGTTTCCTCGTTGAGAAACTGGGGTGTGACAGCCGCGGAGAACCTTTGGAAGATTCTAGTGGATTCCGCCTCCACTTCGCATCTGGGGGGTACCAAGGATGGGGCACAGCCGCGGCGCGGGGTAGCTGGGAGTTTCAGAACGCCTTTCCCCGTGGTTCCCAGCTGCCCCGAAGCCTTAAGCAGAACTGTTTTCACCAGATTTTCCCTGCCACCTCCCTGGCCTGTTACTCAGGGCCTCGTCTGGATGCCAGAGCAGTCAGCAGACTCGCCGCCCTAGTTTACGTGGCTTCTTCCAAGTGGAAACTGGTTCCACCCATCATTTGTTTGGGGTTTATTTTGGCAACCTGGAGGGTTTTCCCTTTTCGGAGCATCCCAGTCAACTCACAGACTCTCATTAGGGCAGGTTCTCACCCTGCCTTAGGCGCATTTACCTTCATTTTGTGATGTAGACAGACAAGGGTGATAGGAAAAAGCATCTCCCAGCCTCCCAGGAGCTTCTGCCCCAGGCCCAGCCCTGGGCAGTTACAGCTGTGACCAGCAGAGGGCACCCCGGAGCCCTGAGCCTGTTCTGACCACCTGCCTGGTCAGTGGGTGCTTTGACCCGGTTGCTCTCTTCCCTGATTTGCCTGTTTGCCCATTCTGAAGAAAGGCGGGAGACCAAGGAGTTTTCAACTTTTAAAGAAATCAAAAACTGAGTCAAAATTTGGGGCTTTGTAGTTAGAGATAATAAGTGAGGTTCATTTCGACATCGTCATAAATGCATATGACATGGTTTTCTCCATTTCAATCCTCAGTACTGACCATTCTCTTCCTTCCTCCCTCCCCCTGCCCTGTATTGGTCTTCCTTTTATTTGTTTATTTTTAACTGGTTCATCGTGGTTACATATAAAATTGAAATGCACGGTGACATATTCACATCGGCACATAGCGTAAATCTGGTCAACTTCATTCCTCTCTTCTTCCCCTTCCCCTCCCCTCCTCGCCTCTCTCCCCATCGGTCACCTGCTTCTGCTCTGCTGTTCTCCCTTCTAGTTTTGCAAGATTCCTTTTTTTTTAATGATTATTCATGGTTTTTCTCTGGCTTCTGCACATGAGAGGAAACCTTTGACCCTGGGCTCTCCGAGTCTGGCTTGTCTCCCTTATCACGGTATCCTCCAGTTCCATCCCTTTACCAGCAAATGACAACTTCACTCTTCTTCATGGCTGAGCAGAACACCCCGTGAATGTAACCACATTTTAGTTATCACCTGTCTACTGATGGACACCTGGGCTGGCTTCATGACTTGCTGTTGTGGATCGCGCTGTGATTCACATTGGTGTGCCTGTGTCATTATAGTCCGCTGATTTTAGTCCTTTTGGATGAATATCAAGGAGTGGGATAGCAGAGTCATATGGTGGTTCCCGGTCTTTGGAGAAATCTCCATATGGCTTTCCAAAGTGTACTAATTTGTACCGACAATGTATAAATGTACCTTTTCCCCACGTGCTCGCCAGCAATTACCACGATTTGTGTTCTCGGTGACTGCCGTTCTGACTTGGGTGAGAGGAAATCTCAGTGTAGTTTTTGATTTGCATTGCCCTGGTTGCTAAAGATGTTCAACATTTTTTCCTATGCTTTTTTTGACCATTTGTATTTCTTCTTTTGAAAAATGTCTCTTTAGATCTTTCACTCATTTATTAAGTGGATTATTAGTTTTTTTGGTTTTAAGGTTTCTGAGATCTTTCTATATGAGCCCCGAGTTGAAAGAGCAGCTGGCAAAGATTTCCTCCCATTCTGTGCTCTCTCAGGGCTCTCCATGGTTTTCCTTGCTGTGAGGAAGTTCTTTAATGCTGTCCCACTTATTGATTATTGGTTTCATTTTTTGAATCTTAGGAGTCTTATTAAAGAAGTCCATGCTAATGTGCTGGAGTGTTACCTGTTTTCTTCTAGCAGTTGCACTGTTTGTAGTACGATTCGTAGGTCTTTGATCTCTTTGAGTTGGTTTTTTGTGCACGGTGAGAGGCAGGGACCTGCTTTGATCCTTCTCCACATGGATATCCAGTTTTCCCAGCACCATTCCAGGGGCTGACTCTTTTCCACTCTTGGCACCTTTGTCAAGAACCAGATGACCACCGTGTTTACGTGGATCTGTCTCTGTGCCTTCTGGTCTGTGGCTTTGCTCTTCCTGTCTGTCTCTCATGCCAGGTGCTCTGCTGTTTTTGTGACTGTCACTCTGTAGTATAATTCGAGGTCAGGTATCGGGGTGCCTCTGTCCTCAGTCTTGTTGCTCTGCGTTGCTCTAGCTCCTCTGGATCTCTTACTCTCCCATGTAAGTTTGAGGACCCTTTTCTGTTCTGTAGAGAGTGACGTTGTTGTCTAGATGGGGACTGCACTGAGTCTGTAGGTGGCCTTTGGCCATGTGACCATTGTGAGGACACAAATTTTACTATCCATGAACATGGTAGGCCTTTCCCTCTTCAAGGTATTCTTCAGTTTCTTTCTTTGCTGTTTTACGATTTTCACTGTAGAGGTGTTTCACCTCATTAGTCACATTTATTCCCAAGCCTTTTATTTTATTTTGAGGCTAATGTGAATGGAATCGTTTTCTTGGTTTCTTTGAATTTTGTGTGTTGATCATGCATCTCGAAACTTCACTGAATTTGAGTATCAGTTCTAGAAGTCTGCTGGAGGTTTTTTTTGGGGGGGGGTGTCTCCTACATATAGGATCATGTCATCAGTAAACAGAAATAGTTTGATTCTTCTTGTCCTGTTTGTATTTCTTTAATTTTCTCTTCCTGCTGGATTGCTCCAGGAAAGGTCTTGTCACCTTCAGTCATCCACAGAGATAACCACTGTGTTTAGGATCCGCTCACTTGCACCTCCTGGAGGAAAATCAAAGACTATAGAGAGTTTTCAACTTTCTTCTTATTATTATTTTTCACAGAGTGAAGCCCTCTTTTTTGGAGTACTTAAGTTACCTTCTCAATTTCATGAGCGTCATCGCTGGCCCTTGCAATCATTTCAAGGACTATGTGGCATTCATCGAAGGGAGACATACCCACATGAAGCTGCTGGAAGTGAACGGGAAGCACAAAGATTTCCACAGCTTGCCAGAGCCTTCTCCAACTGTAAGTCTTTAGTGCCAACTGTTTACTCCGAGTCCAGAGAACAGATTTTGCTGCCAGGGTTGACTCACTGCTTGTTTTAGTGAACAAGCCAGGGCTGGGGTGCAGCTCAGTGGGAGAGCATTTGTCTAACGTGCAGGAGGCCCTGGGTTTGATCCCCAGCACTGCAAAAAGGGAAGCTAAGCAATTCGCCAGAGAGCTTGGCCAGTAACTTCCCTCACATTGGTTTAAAATGCCAATATTGGTGTTTATCTGCAGGGGTTCTCAGTGTAGGAGGACTTAGCTGGGACTCAGGCTCTGTTCCCGGGACCTAGTACATATCCATCCACTTCCACGAAGGCTGCCCCCGGGGACGTGCTCTCAGTAGGCCATACTGCAAACAGAAGTCCATTTTTATGAAATTGGAAACTATGGATCTCCAGAAGGACATTTCCTGGAATGTCAGAGAGGCTGGGCAGCGTCACTCTGTTGAAAGGAATTAAAAAGCCAGGGTCACTTGATTCTAGAAGGGACTACACCTGAGCCCCCCGGGAGGCTAACGCTGTCCATCACCTGCCCACACACCGGCTCAGGTGTCCTCCCCCTGGCCTAGACTCGCTGTCCCTGAGCCTCTGACCTTCTGGCTGGGAACTCCAGCACGTTTCCTGGGTTCTGAAGGGTATAAAAGCAGAAGGCAAAGTGTTGTTTCTTTCTGATGGGAAATCGTCTCCCTGCGACGCTGTCCTTCAGTCTGATGTTGTGGATAATAAAACCACCTGTCCTTTGTTGGTGAATACGCTGAAGGAGGTTGTCATCCGTGCTGGACACGGGGGTCCTCCGTGGCCAGTGTCAGGGCAGCACCCTGTCCACGTGCTCTCGGGGAAGTTGCCCTCCATGCCTGAGTCTTCCAGTGCTCACACGGGTTCCCCCCGTTTCAGGGAGCTGTGATGCGCAAGTTGTGTGTCACGCTGGTGTCTCTCCTTCTGTTCCTGACGCTCACCAAGACCTTCCCGGTCACCTGCCTGGCCGAGGACTGGTTTGTCCAGAAGGCAGACTTCCCGACGCGTCTCTGCTACCTGTATGTCGTCATGCAAGCCTCAAAGCCCAAGTATTATTTCGCGTGGACGTTGGGTAAGTTTGCCGGAGGGGCCTGCTCCAGCCCATAACCGGAGGCTCTTGAGCAACGGTCGTTTTTGACTTTCCAACACAGCACCCATCTCCTCCTCCCGCCGCCGTAAGCCCAGTCATCACGATAGGGGACAGCCTGTCCTGGGTGCTGTTAACCCAGGGCTGTGAACAGACGTCAGAACCGGGACGCTCGGTTCCACCCGTCACACTGGGCCACTGAACACGGAGGAGGGTCAGGGAAAATCCCAGAGGGGGTCTGATTTCCCTCTGGTTTTCCTGGATGCTGTGTGACCCAGGAGGCCTGCTGAGTCCGTCTCTCCTCACACATGCTAATTCAGGCTCACTGCCTTAAGAAAGTTAGTTTTATATTCAGTTAGACGCCAATCTCAAGTTTTTTCAGTGTTTAAGGTAGAATGTTCAATTTTATTTGGTCTTATCACACTTTTTTCCCCCCTGTGGGGTAACTTGGTCAGTATTAAACTTTTTTGAGGGGAGGTGGGTACTGGGGATTGAATTCAGGGGCATTCAATCACTGAGCCACGCTTTTTTTTTTTTTTTGTATTTTATTCAGAGACACAGTCTCTCTGAGTTGCTTGGGGCTTCACTAATTTGCTGACGCTGGCCTTAAGCTCGCTGTCCTCCTGCCTCAGCCTCCTGAACTGCTGGGATTACAGGTGTGTACCATTGCACCTGGTTTTTGAAAAATTTGTGAGCTTGGGTCTCCCCAGTTATGGAGGTTGGTTTTGTATCTATGACCCTCCCACCTCAGCCTCCCAAGTTGCTGAGATTGCAGGCGTGGGCCACCCACGGTACCTGCCCATGTGCTGTTATTTAATTGGTGAAATAGACGTAATACAAAGTTCACTGTTTCAACCACCGCTAAGTGTACGATTCAGTGGCATGAAGTACGTCCACGAGGTTGTTCTGCCATTGTCTCCAGAGCTTTTTCATCTCCAGGTGGAAACCCTGTACCCATTCAACCCCAACTTCCTATCCTTCCCAGTCCAGATTATCGTAAGGGCCCACATGCCCACGCCCAGCGCCTTGCGGTCCTCCTGTTCCGTTTGGCCGGAGAGGTCTGAGGCAGAGATCTTCTGAATCCACAAAGCTGGGCATCTTGTTTCTGATTACGTCCAGTTTAACTCAGGGAGTTTGGTGAGCACAGGCTTTGGGCTGGGAGGAATTCAAAGCTGGGTGAGACGCTTTCCCTACCTCAAGACTGAGACGACCTGGGGGACCGTGGACATGGCCAGCAACCAGGCAATAGGCCTAAGGGCTGTCAGGTCCCAGAGACGACTACCCTTATGCATGGGGCGTGGGGAAGGCATTGTCTCACTCCTCCTTTTGCTTTTTCTTTTTTTTTTTTTTTTTTTGGTACTAGAGATTAACCTCTGGGACACATGACCACTGAGCCACATCCTCAGCCCTTTTTATATTTTATTTAGAGTCAGGGTCTCACTGAGTTGCTTGGGGCCTCCCTAAGTGGCTGAGGCTGTGATCCTCCTGCCTCAGCCTCCCAGGTGTGCGCCCCAGGCCCGGCCTGCTATCGCTTTACTGTTTAGAAATGAGGCTTTCTTTCGTGGCCAGGCATTAGACCTACTCAAGATGGGAACCCGCTTGCCACACTGGATATGGTTTTGTCTGTAAAACAGTTAATGGCTCTCTTTAACCTGAGTACGCGGGGGCATATGCACAGCAGAGAACACCGTGTGTCCCCCCCGCCCCCTTTCCTCCTTCTCCCTCCTCCCCCCTTCCTTCCCTCTCCCTCTTTCCTTTCCTTCCGCTCCCCTGTTTCCTACCAGGCCTGGAGCCTGGAGGAGGGAAGAAAGGCCATCCTGTGGCCTCCGAGGGACAGTCCAGCTTGAGCCGGCTGGGCAGTAGGACCTGGGGTGACAGGCATCCTCCAGCCTGGAAAGCGCTGACAGGGAGGCCCTGTCCTGGAGAGCCCTCCCTGTGGATCCCCCCAGCCCCCCACCCTCTCTTGATCTTGTCTGGGTGCTTTGTAGGAGCGCCTCATTGGTTTCTGTCGCCTCTGTTTGAAGTTGGTTCTGGCTCAGGCTGGAGCTCAGGCTGGTCTGAAATCAACCTTGGTATTATTTATGAAGAAAGAAGCCATGAAGAGTGTATCAGGGAAGATTTAAACTGCTTAACCGAATAATGGCTGGATCCAGCTCTTTAAAACGCCATTTGCATATAATTGATGTACTCATTATAGGCGATTATGAATTTAATCCTCCAGGCCGGCCTCTCACGGTGCATCTCAGCCGAGCCTCACTAGCTCTAGTTACTGTTTATGTTGAAATAATAAAATTATTTTCTTTGGACTTAGCATCCAATTCTGGTTTTTCTCCCCCTCCTGTCGTTAGTGCTAATTAGAGAGCCTCAATTCCAGCCCAGGCTGCAGTTCTAAGGATCCAAACCCCAATACAAGGGTGTTGAAGTGAATGGATCGGAAATAATAGGTCAGAGCCACGCACAATCCAAGGAAGTTAGTTTTGGACCCGGGTACTCACTACCTCCGACTGCTCTGGGACCAAAGGTGTCCAGAGAAGCCACTACAGAGTGGGGACTTCGGACCTTGTTTCAGAGGTGGGGGTCCTGAGAGTCAGGACTTGGAGTCGCTCACCACTTGCTCTTCAGAGTGGCTCTCAGCTGACCAGGTTGTGCTGTCAGAGCCCCAGCATTTGGATTCTGGCATCGTTCCCCTCCGCGTGGTCTTAGCGTTCATCTAACACTAACCTCAGGCCCCTTCATAGCCGCTGAGAGGTGGCCATGCTGGTGATAACAATGGCAGCCGGGGTGGGGTGGTGCACACCTGTAATCCCAGCCGCTTGGGAGGCCAAGGCAGGAGGATGGCAAGTTCAAGGCCAGCCTGGGCCACCTCATGAGACACTGTCTCCAAATATATGACAAAAAGGGCTGGGGGTGTAGCTCACGGTAGAGGACTGGCCTGGCACGCGCAGGGCCCTGGGTCCCACCGGCACTGCAGGAAGAACTCGGCAGCCAGCGTTTGTTGCGGGCTGCCTTGGGCCAGGCTCTCCGCACTCCACACGCTCATTTTCATTTACTCCTTTCAGCAGCCCCTTAGGATGGGTGCCACGAGTGTATCCATTTTCTACATGGGGAATGGTTCCGAGAAGGCAGACGGCTCTCCGGGGGCCGGGCACACAGCCCGCAGCCGACCCTGCCCTGGGCCACCTCTAAGACGGTTGTGAGGACTGGAGAAACGCTGAGCAGCTGTGACTGCCCAGTCCCGGGATGACTGTCGGTCACTGTCCTGTTCTTTCCGTCTGACCAGTGCTGGGCGTGGCAGCAGGCGCTCAGGGATGTCTGACCAGTGCTGGGCGTGGCAGCAGGCGCTCAGGGATCACTGCGTGGGCCCAGCTGCAGGCAGCCAGCTCTGGTCTCAGGGTCCACGTGGCCTCGAGGGCCGTCTCCTGTGTGGTTCACCTCTGTGGTCACCAGCTTGTCTCCACGCGGGTAGAACAGCAGGTGCCTTCCGGCACTCTCTCATTTTGGCTGTCTTTTTCTTTGACTCTTGGTCACTTGGGAGGATGATGCAGAAAGACTCAGTGCTCCTTCCTCCTTTCTTGTAAAAGGAAGCCAATCACTTGACAGTGGGCCGAGTCGGAGAGGAGCTCCATGGGGTCGACAGCTGTGCCCAGAGTGGAGGACGCAGAGAGGGTTTCGTTTGTGTCAGTGCAGGGGTGGAGCCCAGGTCTGGCACAGGCGAGGCCGGCGCTCCACCACGGAGCCGCACCCCGGCCCAGGACGGGTGGCTCTCTTTGGACAGCTCTTCTGCCGCCGTCTTGGTTTGGCCGTGAACTCTTAGAGGGAGGAGTTCTCCACCCTCCAGGTCTGAGACTCTACAGTGCGGGGTTTAATTCGTTTGATTGATTATTTTCTGAAAGGATTCTAACAAAATTTGAAACAAGATAAATGAAAAGAGAAAACTAGCTTCTTGGTCATTGTCCTGAGGGTGTGTCAGTCTCGGTGGGTTTCAGGAACACTTTGTTAGTGCATCCCCCTGCCCGTGCCCGGCTGGTTCCAGTGACGGCTTTGGTCCTCTGCTGGGCCCCCCGTTCACGCCCATCTCTACTCTGAGCGCAGGTGTACTTGTGTCTCTTTCTCGCGCACATCTGGTTGGCCAGTTGATCCTGCGGTTCACGTCTTCATGTCAGTTTTTCTCTCTGATCCATCCTCGAGGTCACCATCTGGGAGCCTCCAGCGTCTTTCCTCTTGGCGGGTCTCCCTGGGAGCTAGGGGGTGAGTGAATGAAAATCAAGGTCACCAAACAGCCAGATGGATTCTTCTGGTTCATGAGACCGGACCCTTTGAATTTGTTGGTTCCTTTCCCCGGGAGCCAGCACCATCTCTCCATGCCCAGTTAGACCAGTCTTCCAGCAGCATGTGACTGTCGTTCGCGCCCTGACTTCCTGTTCTAAACCCACAGCTGATGCGGTGAACAACGCGGCCGGCTTTGGGTTCAGTGGCGTGGATAAGGACGGCAGGTGCTGCTGGGATCTGCTGTCCAACCTGAACATCTGGAAAATAGAGGTGAGTGGGTCCCCCACGTTTCACTGCTGTATGCAACAGCCGGGGCAGGTGGTCTGCCCTGAGCGCGGTTTCCCTGACGTTTCTCAGCGGATGACCGGGGGAAGCTGCTCTGGGAAGGCCAGGTCCCGCAGCCCCTGGACATTTTGCGTCTTTGATTCCCCCCTTTGTTCCTTTGAAGATCCCCGCCTTCTTGATAGCTTGAATGCTTCAAGGAAGGACGACACCAAACTCTGGGAAAGAGCCAGGAGCACCTCTCTGCTGCTCACATTCCTGTTCTTTTGGCTGGAAGTGCACTGTCCTGTTCTCTAGCTTACATCCTGCTTGCTTCAGTAGAGTGCAGAACCGGAAGCTCCCGTGTCAATATGGCAGGTGTTTTCTGCGGATCCTTTGGAAACGGTTGTCATTGTTTTCTTTGAAGGAGAATGGTCGTGGGCTGCGGTGCTGGCTCAGCGGCAGAGCGCTCGCCTTGCACGTGTGAGGCGCTGGGTGCGATCTTTAGCACCACATAAAAATAAATAAATAAAATAAAGGTCTAAAAAAATACAATAACATTATTAAGGAAAAAAAAAAAAGAAGAAGAAGAATCGTGATGTCCAGCCTCCGGGCCGCTGGATCTGTGTGGTTCTGCTTTCCGGGTCTTCATTCTGGACCGCGAGGCTTTGCACAGGTTGCTCCTCACACATGGTGTCCCTGGCCGCCCCACTTGTGGTCCTCTTTTCTCTGTTAGTGAGAGGACGGTCAGCAGGGCCAGCCCAGGGCCTTCCCTCCTCCCAGCTGGCCGGTGTTCTCAGCACACCCAGCTCCACGTCCCTAGCCAGGTGGCTGCTGTCTCTGCTGGGCTCGGTTTCCTGCCACCAGGGCAGGCACGGTGCGCGGGGAGAGAGCAGGCAGAGGGGCCGTGGTGGGGGCAGGAAGTCAGGGGCGTGGGGAGATGGGTTGCCTTCCACCCCCGCGGAAGCTGGGCCAGGAGGAGAGTGGGGTGCTCTCCTTCCCGGGACTCAGGAAAGCCCCCAGGCGAGGACGGCCCTCCACCCCACAGAACAGAGGGGCTTAGGGGAAGGACGGGGTTTTTATTTCTTCTCCTTCTTTCTCTCCTCCTCCTCTTCCTCGTTCTGCTCTTTTCTGCTTTTCTATGTATTTTTAGGAAGCACAGACACACTGGTACCTGTTGTCCAACCACATGGCCGCACACGGTCAACTCACAGTGTCCTTACTCACGCCAGAGCCAAGCCATGCTACTGAGTGGCCGCCAGGGGCCAAACCCTCATTCTCGGATAGGTCTAGAGGCCCGGGGCCCTGTGGGCGGAGGCCTGGGCACACCGACAGCCGGGGCCCAGCACGCTCCTGAGAGAGGAAGGAAGCCTTGCCTGCAGGTTGCCTCCGGGAGGTCAGAAGCAGAGTCCAGCCTTCACAAGGACTGTCCCGTGTTTGGACAGGCCCTGAGGGCCCTCTGTGTCATCTCCTTTCTATGTAGATGACGTCAGGGGTGCTGGAGGAGTGACGCTTCTCCCTTGTCCACTTCCCAACTTCTTCTCTCCTCTGGGCTCAGGGACCCCCTGGAGCTGGGCAAGTGCCCATCAGAGGGCTGCCCACCAGTGTGCCCACGGTGCCCCAGAGGATCGTCCTCTCAGTGGGAGTGTGTTCAGGGCCTGAATTATCAGTTACGTGTTTATCATAAAAGGAAACCAGAGGAGAGAGGTGGCATCACCATGGTGTCGGACACAGAACATGGCAGCCTGGTGCAGTCAGGGTACCGTGAGGCTGTGCCCTAGAAAAATGGGGAGCCAAACCCCTTAGTGTTTTAACGCAAAAACAATACAAATCTAACTGTTTGCCTGTAATCAGTCCATCTGTCTGTCTTCCACCTGTATCTGTCTTCCTGTCCCCTTTCACTGCCTGCTCACTCCCTTCCCGGTATGTGTCACCCAGTATGTGTCACCAGGCCCCTGTGTGGCCTACTAGGATTTTCTTGTGGTTAATAAACTTCGGCAGGAAGACATGGCGCCCCACTTCCGCGGGCGCTAGGAATCATGGTCCTCCTACGTGTGCTCCATGCTCTTTAGCCCTGGCCTTTGGTACCACAATATGCATATTGTAATGAGAAGACCCAGTTGACAGTTAACTTGGGGACATCTCTCCCTCGAGGTGGACTGGCTTTCATCATGGCCGTGATCTTTCCTTGTTTTCTTTTCTGCACTGTGGTCCCTTCATGCGTGAAGCCTCTTGCTCTTGCAGACCCAGCTAGACCCAGCTAGAAGCTTCTCAACTCTTGTAGCTCTTTATAGAATTAACCGCCAAGAGTGACCTGGTTTGTACGTGGCCCCAAATGCAAAGATGACAATTACATTTAAACTGTCTCCCTAAAGGCGTTCAACTCACAGGATCGCACTTTTCCTCTGGTGAATTTTCTTTGTGGAATATTTCACTTTTAAGATTCAGATGACTTAAAAAATTTTTTTAATCAGAGCGGAAGGGAAATCCACAAAATGTTCCTTCGGTTTTCCTATAATTTGAAAATAAATGTGGAGAAGAATTCAGACTTTGAAGCCAAGGTTTCGTTGCCAGGTTGATCTTATAAACACCAGGAAGCCTTCCTGCGTGCATGCTGCAGCCCCGCGGCTCTTGCCTGAGATGGTCATTGTGAAACGCCACACTCGCTCCGCCGCCCTGGAAATTCTGGAGAGGACTTTCCGAGACTTGGTATTTTTGCAGCTAATGATAGGTGTGATTTTCTCCTCTCTAGACTGCCACGAGTTTCAGAATGTACTTGGAGAACTGGAACATCCAGACGGCTGCGTGGCTGAAGTGGTAAGGAAATCAGAAGCAGGCTCCTGACTCAGGACACTGGGGCATGCTTTGAGGGACATCCCAGGCCATCGGCCGTCATCTGGGTAGTCATGTCTTCTGACCCTTTTCTTCTGTGTTGATATCTATGTCCTGTAAATGAAAAAAAAAAAAAAAGTCGAAATATGTTGCTTTGAGAAGGTCACAATGTAACATTTATTTTATCTCCTACTACTGTCATTACTGTGTGCCAGTCATTTATTCCACAAAGTAGCTTCATAAGATGTTGATCTTTAGCCCCACTTTACAGATGAGGAAAGTGAACCACAGAGAGGTTATGCAACTCACCCAAGTCACACAGCTAATGAGTGACAAGTTTGAGCCCAAATGGTCTGTCTGCAGGATCAGGCTCTTGTCCTCTGTGCTGTGCTGCTGTTACCTTAAGGACAGTCTGTCAGGGGTAAGGAAGGGCACATTAGCATCAAAGCCCTGGTGCTTGCTCTGCTCATCCCTAGCATTGAAAGCCTTATGGTGGCCCACACGTTTATGCTTTTTAATTTACATTTTTATTGTGATTTCTCTGTTCTTTGTCCTTCTGTTTCAAAATGCGAAGTATTTCTTATTAATGAACTAATGATATGTTGGAGCAGAAAACTGCCCTAGTGGAGTGCACAGACATTGCCTTCCAACAGATCCCCTCTTTCTGATGTGTAACTTCTTGTATTGGTCAAAACCTGGGGCAAGAGGAGAGACGGTGACGTCCCAGGTGCTCAGGTGACGTCTTGAACGTCTGGCTTTAGCGAGCCCGCTGTCTGTCAGCATTGCACAGGATCATCACACAGACTCCGTCTCTCCATGTGTGTCAGTCCCCTGGCTCAGAGTCTCCGTCAGGAGCTGAGAGATGACTAAGGGTACCTGTGTGCAAATAAAACTTGGACAACAGTGCTTCAAAATTTTTGGCAATAAAATGTTTCACTCTTTAAAAAGAAGCTATGAGGAGTAAGAAACAAATATATACTGTACTGTGCCTACTTCTTATTTCAGGAAAAAAAAATCCAAACAAAACATTACAAATGGAGTCTTGCGTTTATCTCCCTAAATGCCTTCTGTCTCCTTTGATGAAGAGGCAGCCATAATCCTTAGTTTGGGTGTAAATCAGTTGCTTCTGAATCAGCAGAGAGGGGCTGGTGATAACTGGATTTCTGTTCCATTTTTATTTGGTCCTCTTTGGATCCACTGGGCAGTGGCTTCCTTAGGGGCCCTTGGCTATTTGTAGACTGAGTGTGGGGGGAATCCCCTATCATTCTGATTTCATAAACAGCCTAAGAGTCAAAGTTCTCCACGGTCTTTGTTGACATTTTCTAGATCCTCACAATATCCCTAACCTGAAAATCTGAAATCTAAAATGCTCCAAAACCTGACACTTTTTGAACATGAACACGATGTCACA